AACTCGAGAATTTATAGAAGCGCATTGTATAGCGAGAGCTGGCAGCACGTGTATTAGCGCCCCTTCTTTGGTTTTATGTGAACATGAAGTGGCCTTCCTTAATCAGGATAACTGCCTATGAATCTGTGATATGTTACGGTGCGATGTTGTGTGTTATCTTGTCGTTGCGTTAGGGTGGTTTTGTACGCTTGCGCCGGTCTACATATTTGATGCAGTTTGACAATAAAGCTCAGTTGGAAGTTAGCGCTCTGTCCTCTTGTGTCGCTCTGCTCAGCCGTTTCTTCTTCCCCGTAATGCGCTATACCAGTTCAAGTTCACATCCGTGTCATGCTTATGCCTGTCTATTGTTTAATTCGAATTTTTTTGTGCCAAGAATATACGTAGAAACAACCAAGCATCACTTAGCTAAGTGCTCGAAGCAACCTAATAGAAACGCGGTCATTATTTAGAACCCTCTTATTTTGCTTTTTCAAGCCATGCGCGGTTTAGTGCGAGCATTTGTCATTTTTTTATTGGGTTGTAAGCTCACTACTACTATGAAACATAGAACTATGAGAAGCACAATAAATAAGATATACACACACTAACCTAGCACAATGAATTTATGTGACAGCAGCACTCGTAAAATCGACAAGAACGCGATTCAGACAAACGAGCAGAGAAAGTTAATGCAATTAAGGGTGAGCTTCGTGAGTTGTATAGCCGCCCCGGGTGAGTCCGGACGGTGTGCATACGAAAATATATTTAGAGCCGTTACTTTTGCGGCCATTGTACTTTTTTTTTCGTTATTGAAATCTGCGGAAGAAAACTCGTCTGCATGCAGCGGCACAGAAACCTCAATTTGTGTCTGAACAAAACGAGTGTCTCTTTGGGCTGTTGCTGCGTACCCGTTAAGCACGATTCAACTTAATCAAGCTTGTTCAACTGTATAAAACTCTACATAGAGACAGCATTACGTCTCGAACAGAGTGTGACAGAGTTAGAGTGCTTTGCCTTTTTTACGAGACAGCTATAAACGAGAAGTGACAGCGATTCATGGTCATCCCGCTGCGCGGGGAGCATCGTTGTTGCACAGGGGCCGCCTATGGTCGGTGCAGCAAGGGGGGACCACTTGCATGAGACACAATATAAGCAAAAATCTGTGTTGTAGCAGGAGCAGCAATAATAATAATAATAATAATAATAATATAATAATAATAAAATATAATAATAATAATAATAAAATAATAATAATAATAATAATAATAATATAATAATAATAATAATAATAATAATAATAATATAATAATAATAATAATTATCATTCTTGTTATCACAAGAAGATTTTCATTTTCCCTCAACCAAGTGCTCAAGACAAGTTCCGATTGAAAAACCAGTTTTCGTCGAGGTAGCATCACAATGGTTCAGATGCTTCTGTAGAAAACGATCAGCAAAGGCAACTTGTAGGCCATTTAACATGTGCAAACAGATGTTACCTCATTGTCACAGGAAATTAAAAAAAAACAAGGCAGGTGGCAAGTGTTGTTTAAAAACATTAGGTGCTATAAAAACATTTATGTTTTAAACAATTTGTAGTGCCGACATTCCAGAAAAACTGTTTTCAGGTTCAGGAGGGCTATACGGGACTCTAAATTGTAATAATGAAACGACGAGCGCGATTCGGGATCGTCCTTGCGTGTGGCATAATTCATTCTTCCTGTATCCGTGTTAACTAAACATACATGTTTCATATGAAGCAGCTTTTGCTTGTGTGTTACATATATTGTCACGTGCTACAAAAGGTCTTCAACTAGGAAGAAACGAGCCGGCGGGGAGACGCACCGAAAACTGGCAAGATGACTGCTTCAATAATAAACAACTAGCCAGAGCATCGTCTTCCATTCTCGCGGGCAGCCATGGCTTACGCTCGCCGTAACTAGCGGCCAAGTGGCAATACCTATAAAGATAGTTATTCCTGCAGTAACTTGTTTTCCAGCGGAATCTTCATTTTGCGTATATCTTTGTTTCGTCTACAAAGCAACGTGATAATAATTGTTCAGGGTTTACGTCTCAAAAGCTCAATTTATTCATTTTTAACGTTGTAATGTCCTAATGTGTCTAGGTGAGAGAAACCTGAATAAAATGTCCACACTATTCCACTTTAGGCCAGACCTCTGAAGATAATTTAAAAATAAGAAGGCCAATAGAATTTCTCAAAACTAAAAGGCAATGGAACGACGGCAGACTTAGTTACCGAGGTTTCCTCATCGTCATCATTTATTTGCGTGTCAAGTGTAGTGCTGGAGCCTCCCTCAATGATTTCCAGTGTAACCAGTCCTGTGGGAGTTGATGTATATTCTTCACAGTATACAGACGTTGATGTCTCTCCTATACGTTAAAAAATGAGTTCACTTGCACTGTGATTGCTTCGACGATCTTGTAAGAGAGTACAGGGTGCGTTGAGACGCAGATATTGTGTGTGTGTGTGTGTGTGTGTGTGTGTGTGTGTGTGTGTGTGTGTGTTTTCCATTGCCCAGGGACGTACGTACGTTTTTGAAGAACAACCCCCGTCAATTCAAACCAACGCTGGCTTCAGCACGTCGACGCACTTTATCTATGACATCGCATGAAAAAAAAAATACCCTTGGAACTCTCGTTAGGCATATCTTAGTAAATTGAGTCGACATTGTGTCTACCTCTTACTGTCTGCCGAGGGAAGCTTCTTTTGCCTCGCTGAATCACTGCTCCTGCTACTTTGACTGCATCCGTCGAAGCCGCTCGATCAGACTCCTGCACCATTGGTGACCGAGTGGCTTCAGAGGATGCCCGAGACTCCAGGCTTGCCCAATGAGTTTCGAAGCTGTGTACGCCAAAGCAGCTACATGAAAGGCTGGTAGGCAATAGATGCTGTCCATCCAAAAATATCCCTTTTCTATTGTGCTGAATTTGTATGGATATTGTGACGCGCACACCCTGACGACGATACTTATTTTCGCGACTACACGCCCACGTCTTGTTTGCGCACGACCTATATGGCAGTTCCTGTCGTGTTTGTTCACATCGATTTATCTTCATCCCTCATGGATATTTCTTTGCTTTGCATCAAAGAGAGCACTGGGTCCTTATTGCAAACTTTGAATCGTTGCTTACTTTCAACGTATTTTTTGTTTGTGTCTCTCTCGCAGAGTGAGCAACCCACCTTTCATGGTAGTTCCTTCCCCCTACCTCTTTCATCGACCCCTTTCTATTTTTGCGAACACCTTTGTTCCCACATTCCTTGTCAGATAGCTTGCCCGACAGACTTTCGATGGAATTCCCGTTACAGATGATTGTAATCAGCGGCAATAGGCAGCCACTTTGTGAGAAACTTGCGCAGCACCTGCGAACGTACAGATGAAATCAGATCTGTCTACAGCAATGGAGCGTGTGGCTGTGGACGCTGTTGTTGTCCACAACCGCGAGTGACCTCAGGTTAGCAACAAGCTTCTGCTCGTGCTTGAATTATAGCACGAGTATCTAGCGTGCAACCTGACTATTAGGTATCATTACGGCGTCGGTATTTGCACGTTTTTGCAGATAACGACACCTGAACGGGCTTGCTGAGCGCTCTAAACAAGTGCGGTTCATTGTGTACTGACATTCTGGCTTACACTTTTTTCTGATACAAATGCCAAGAGACAAGTTAGCGCACTTTCTCTTTTCCAAGTACTTTTCGCCATTGGCCTTACGGATTCTATTCAAGTACGTCCTGATTCAGTACCATGTTATCATCCTATAAAAATTCTCAGTACATTGGGAACTTTCGTAATGTGAGAACGAAAGAGGAAAAAGCTTCACTTTGTGACTTGTACGCAGCAATTTTTCTCCCTGTGCCTTTTTTTTTCTCGCTATCTCTAGGACACGAGCCTATTATGTTCCAACTTATTCCCATGTACTACTCTCCAGCATTTTACGAATAAAAAGAAAATACAAATTTAGAAAAGTGCTCTCGTGTGTTTGTCTCTACGCCTAACGTGCATCTGGTGTTGATTTATATGCACTCATTTGCAAGCATACTTGTAAGCGATCTTTTAGTGTGGCACTTTGATTTTGAAACATCGCTGCGCGGTCTTTCTGCTTTTTGTTCACTTCCGATTTCCGTGACTACTGTATAATAGGAATGATTCAAGCATACATGCCCTCTACTTCTAATCTAACGTGCACGATATTTCGTCTTGTCACGTCTATTTGTGCGATTAACTACGATCATGTAACGCGTTCGGTTTGTTGTCTGTCTCCCAGGCTGTGCAACTTAAGCCTCTGATTGGCTTTGGCAGTCGTAGCATTATTTACTGCTTTATTCGTAGAAGTAAAAATTATTATTATTATTATTATTATTATTATTATTACCAGTAGGAGTAGTAGTACTAGTGGTAGTTGTAGTAGTATTTCACGGAGCTACTATGTTTCAAAAGTTGCCGGATACACGGCTTTCTTGAGAGTAGTGTTGCTGTTTCTTTTCACCTCTGCAGTTGATAATAAAGTGCTACATGTGCCTTCTATCAGTGATGAAAACCCTTATTAGGATTTATGGTTCTCTTGGATCTATAGTAAAACTGAAAGCTTCACCATTAAGAGGATATTTTTTTTTAATTTAGAGACTAATATTTGTGCCACCGTTTTTTTTTGTTAAAATAAAAATAACGCTGTAATAAAGCGGTGATGCATTGACACGGCCACTGACAGTGAGTGAACATTTAGCTCGGGTAATTTCCGCTAGTAACCATGAATGTTAGCCTGATCTTGGCTAATGTGAGTAATGTAGGTTAGCATCACCTATATTATGGCTGACTTCGGCTAATAGTGGCCAATAATGGTTAATTACGGCAAACTCCGGGCGTTTCTAGATAACTGACGGCTTGTCTCAAGCGGTTTTATTTTGTATTGGTTTAGTTGTGTAATCCCAAATGACACAAAATACTGTATGACCATTTCATTGAACAGCAAATTAAATGTACGCCTTATGTTCGCAGGGCGCCACATTCGTGGGGCAAATGGAACCTGCCAGAGGTTAGCATCGCTATGAGATGCTTGCGTGCCACCCTGCTTCAATGTATGCTCTGCCTAAGCGTGAAACAAACAAGGTAAGGTTCAATAACCTTTCATCAAGCATTAACGGGCTGCTCTTTTGGCGGCGCACTGAACTCTATGTTTATACTGATGACTGAACTCCTGACGAGTCTTTTTGCACGTGGCTTACCTTTGAGATTCGTTGGTAGCATATAACTTGAACAAAATTTTTTTTTTCAATTTCGAATTGCACACAAAGTTCACGGCACCTGAACATCATTGGGACATCATGGATAGGACATACATTTTTAAATTCGGAGCATTTCTTTGCGCACCGCAAGCACTTCTGGCATCTATCTATCTATCTATCTATCTATCTATCTATCTATCTATCTATCTATCTATCTATCTATCTATCTATCTATCTATCTATCTATCTATCTATCTATCTATCTATCTATCTATCTATCTATCTATCTATCTATCTATCTATCTATCTATCTATCTATCTATCTATCTATCTATCTATCTATCTATCTATCTATCTATCTATCTATCTATCTATCTATCTATCTATCTATCTATCTATCTATCTATCTATCTATCTATCTATCTATCTATCTATCTATCTATCTATCTATCTATCTATCTATCTATCTATCTATCTATCTATCTATCTATCTATCTATCTATCTATCTATCTATCTATCTATCTATCTATCTATCTATCTATCTATCTATCTATCTATCTATCTATCTATCTATCTATCTATCTATCTATCTATCTATCTATCTATCTACCGCGTACGTCTTGGTGCGCTCGTGATCACCCCCTTAACTTGGGGTAAATCGAAATCAGTATAAGAGAACATGATGGTTCGACGAATATGACGCGTTAGTAAAGACTTGAATAATGTGACAATCCCGTCGCGTACGTTGTAGTTCACTTCCCGTTAAACAGTGGCATATGCCTGCAGGTTGGTATGTGCCACTGGTACGCGGGTATGTGTCACAGATGACTGAAACTTAGCATCTACTCAAAAACTTCAAGAACACACATGGGTAATTTTAACGAGTTGGTGTCTAAAATTGTGACATCGGCAACGTTGACACAATCAACTCATTAAATAAATATGATGTTCTCAGCATGAATCGAACTCGAGCATTCTGCGTGACAAAAAAATATTCTACCACACAGCCAGTTAGGTGGGGTCTCGTAACCACTTTTCAAGTAGACCGTAATGTTTGTGAAATGCCAATTCTGGTTGCATTGCTGGGAGGGGGAGAAGGAAGAGGGGGAATAGGCAATTTTATAAATATTACATATGTACTCCTGTCACACAGCCGTCACGTAGGGCTAACGTCAATGATAGTTAAATGGCATTCACTGAAGATGAGTTACGCAGCAGTGTCCATCTTCGTGAGCACCAGCACTACATATCAGCTTATCGCTTCTGCTTTTGCTGATGCCCATTTTCCTTTTGGAATTGTTGCCCAAGTGCTAACAACTGGTTATGTAAGCATCTGTAACTGTTTTTTATATGTGTATGCGCGCAACCTTTGTACATAAATTTTTACTTATATTTGGATATGTACATAAAAATATTTTGTATAAACTATTAGCGTCATTTTATGTTGCGTTGCTCAATATAAAATTGCCACACCGTTACCCTGCCTCCACATGCTTCCCATAACGTCGATTTTCTAGGTACGTGGAACCTGCCGAATTTTTTCTCCTCTTGAGCTATCTACAAGAGTTTGAAAAACTTCCCGCGCAAATGAAATAGCTTTGTTAGAACATGAGGGTACCTATTTTCCACTCTAAATAATTATGTCAGTACTGCGCAACGGTGCAATTATCTATGTTGTCAGTGTGAGGTTCTATTTTTATCGTCATTTTCTGGATAGTCGACCATCTTCTGCGGGCAATATTAGTGTTTCGCGCACTGTGATTGTGTAACTTTCGGGTACGAAAGAAATCGGTCGTCTCTTTAAAGGTCCTTTATACGCCTTGTGCACGTATTGCATTCAGCCCCGTAATCTTCACTGCAATAACTCTCTACTGTTTTGTAGTTGTAGCGAAGTGCAGTGAACGGTATTAGCATGAATTGCCGTTATACTTTAACCCTTACCACAATCGCTACGTCCTGTCTCTTATTACAGGCCTGTTTTCCGTTAAGACCCATCATGCGGCTAGCTAACTTCAGTATTACGTTTTTGTCGTTAAAGCTTTGCTCGACGCTATGATCGTTTCTTGAAGACATCGTTAAAAAGCTGCATCAGAATAATGAAGGCAGTTTGTATGCAAATCTTTCATATATATCACCGGGACCTGAACCTAGCATAAGGATTTCATAATATATATCACACATGGCACAAGAAGTACCAAAATGTGTTCGGGCTGGAATTCGTTAGCCTATTCCAAGCCTTTTATTTCGGTCGCTTACCAAGTAGCAAGTGTTCCTACGTAAGAAACTTTGTTCATTATAGCTCAGAAATGTAACGTGATGTGACAAAGCAGGAATAGATAAATTAAGTGTATAAGAGTTATGGGGATAAAATTTAACGTGACTGCTTGCGAAGCCAGAAAGTCGAAAAGATCATGCAGGCCAATTTTTTTTGTGTGTGTGTCCCAGAGTTGCGACATGCAGTGGGGCACATACAAGCAAAAGACTTTTTGCAATCATCTAGAAAACTACTGGACGAATGACAGATCGGTTGTTTTCCAAGCTGAGTTTCAAATTTGATTTTCAGGAAAACTTGGTTTGCGCAGCAAAGTAGACAACTGAATAGAAGACGGAGGCATAGGGACGGACATTCACACAAGAAAGTATTTCGTTTCGTCCAATCGAGAATAAATTGATTCACTGAACGATGACTCGGCTGTCGATGTCCGGTTAAGTTTGATTTCGGCTTATTTTGGCCCCGTTTTGAAATCGCATTCGTCCTAGGCGCCTCAGTACCCTTAGATTGACAACAACGTTACGTTCATGATCGCCAGCTTTCGCCAACAAACTCAATCTTCGTGACATACCTGGCGCCGATGCAATCAACATCAGGCAAAGAAAGGCACAGTTAATCTATAGTCATCATTATCAGCCTATTATATGTCACTTACTCAATGGCGAGACCCTCTTCGAATAGCCTTTAATTTAAAACTTTTGAGAGTGAGCTGATTCAATTGAAGGCCTCGTCAGTTCTCAATGGCATAGCCACCACAAGCTTTCTTTGACCCTTGGTTACTTTTCTCACCTCTTGGTATATCTATTCAGTCACTCTGACTTACCGTTGGTTGTCTATGCTTCACATTACGCGACAAGCCCAGCTCAATTTTGCTTTCCTATTTGCAGCAAGAATATCGACTAGTCTGTTAGAAGTCTGCTGTCTTCCTGCCTTTTACTGTGACGCCTATCAGTTCTTTTGTACGTTCCTCATTTTCTCGAGCGTCCTTGTCCTGTAAGCCGAATTTCACTCCACATGCACGTACCTCACACGTACCCCACATGTTCGTGCTGCTGAAATGCAGTAGCAGTACTTACATATGTTTTCTTTAGAAACAGCGATAAGTTACGTTACCCATTCGCCTGCAGATGCAAAATTTGCACGAGCGAACGCAGCTTTATTATGGCGACTTCTAGAAAGAGGCACGGGTTCAGGTGTCTTCACTTTTTGCCGAACACTCAAAGTGCCTGTCCTTAAAGTCGTTAATATGTTTATAAGTTATGAAAGTATAGCAAGCGTCTTGATTAAAGTGCAAAAGGAAACCTGCAATCTGCTCTGCCCTAAATCAATATATTCCAAAAGCCGTGTAGAGGTTCTCAGATAAAGCAAGCGAGCGCTCGGTGCACACTATTTGCCGAAAACTGTTTCTTTTTTTTCTTTTTGCCACAATTTCAGAAAGTTTGACAATTTCTCTATTTGCAGCTTGCCAATGTTTTTTTTTTGTGCCATATGTTGTTGAGGACTCACTGACGCACTTTCACATTCAAGAGTCTTCATAAAGCATAGAAGGCAACGCTCTTCTACGCGGCTATTCACTGATCGTAACCACTGTTATTTATGTTGCAGGCAAGAACCTTTAGATTTCGAATCAATTCTACCCGAGAATCCTTCCGAGTACGACAGTCTTGATCCTCCAAAAGAGAACGGTGAGGCTTTCACTGCTATATCCAATGGTACTCCACATGTTTCTTTTGATTTTTTATGAAAAACTATACCCTAATGTACGCCGTTAGTGCTCCAATTACCATATTTACCAGCAGCTTAACGGCCCCACTTTGCACTCGCTAATGATGACTGATTCAGCTAAATGATTAGTAAATGTTGCCAGGGTCAATGATAGGTGGGGGATGTTGACTAGCGTTGCCTCGACTAGTCCTTATGCTAAGATTGTCTTGTTTTCATTTTTCAGTTAGTGTTTTTTGACATTTCTCCAGCTAACAAATTCCCAAATGCGACAATTTTTGTGTAGCAAAGACTGTTTTGCTGAATATTTTCATCCTTAATAACGAGTCATATTGTTTCACTTCTCCCTTTTTCTTTACTTTTGCTTAGTAACTTTTTATTCGTAGTTGCAAATATTATTAGTGACATGCGAAAACTGAATTATTGCACCCATAGGAATACAGGAAAGGACTGTTAGTAAACGCGGTTTTCATTGCCATTCATATAACCTACACACAGTGATACGCAGCATTCTAAATCAAACAGGAATAGTTGTTGCACTGACAAGCAGCACAGGGTGTTTGATGTTCATTTGGTCATTGACTGTTCGCGGTTATGTCTCAAGTTATAGTGATTTCGCGAAAAAGTAACCTGATATATATAATCTAAGTATCGAAGTAAAAGCGTCTTAAGTTGGACGACATGCATGATCTTGTATTAACCCATCAGTGTGTCGCCATGCTCTCGATAGGAAAAAACATCTCGTGTAGCGCTTCCAAGATGGGGGAGGTTGGTCGATTCAGAAATTCAGCGCGGCTGTTCCCAGTCGGACGCATAAATTTAAATCAGCTCATCTGCAGTATTGAATGTGTTGACAGCTACGATAAAATGTGAGACTGGTACACCGACAACGCCTGAGCCTGTTTAGTGTATAGGCATGCCAACATAGGTATTTTTTTGTGCTAGCAGTTGCGCCTCAGCCTTTAAAACTACAGCTTGCAAATATTGCGTCATGCAGCGAAATAGTGTGGCAGTTATGTTGTAGGTATTAGTCTTCATTCAGGATTGATAATGAAAAACCGAATGATTTCCACCAGGTCAGAAAGTGCAGCCTAATTTTTTCTAATTTTTTGTTCAACTTCCACTTTCGGCGTAACGCTATCTCTCTTTTGCACAGGGAAACCTACCGTGGTCAGCTTCCACGTCACAGTTCTCAGCTTGGACTCTATCGACGAAGGATCAATGGTGAATATATCCTTACTAATCGACTCACTACGTTACAAGACATTTTATATGATGTGATGCACAAAGAACGAACAAAAGGAAACGCCAAATTGTGAAGTCGAAATGTCGGCAGACATTACTCAGGTCAATAACTTCCTTGTTCAGCATTGCATGCTCTCCCTCTGACACGCAGAGGAAACGCTCAACGCGAAAATAGGTTTCAGGTGTAGTTTTTCTTGCTAACATGAATTATTTACTAATTTATTTACTATCGCCATAGCAATAAAGAGTTCATTACGCAGAAAGTCTAGCATTGCTGCCATTCTCGGTATCGGTGGTTTTGAACCAAGAATTTGCGTTTGAGGTAGGTGAAAAGATTTGTACGAAGTTTGGGATAACTGTAAATATTTCAAAAATGATCTGCTTGCTTTCAACCCATGGCTTCGGGAATACAACCCATGCGTTCACAATTTGAACTCGTCTCGTCTACTTCGGCCTCCGCCTGGACTCTCTCGACTTGAGACAACGGTGCTTTGCCGACTGTGGCCTGGTGTCGCTTTCACCAAAGCTTTCGCCTTCCGATTCGGTGTGGAAGACAGTGCGGCTTGCGTTCCTTGCGGCAGCAGGTGAAACGATAGAGCTCGTTTTCTGTCACTGTCCTTGTTACAGCGTGCAAAGACGGCAGTTAGCTGCTGCGTTAGCTTGCCTTGACGACATACCCTTGTCGGAACAGTCACTGCTTGAAAAGCGACGCGATCTGTCTTCGCACAGAAAATCAGTGAAGGCCTTATAGAACCTTTTGCGTGGTAGTGACCTATTTAATAGGCTATAGCATCCCAGCTCACTTTTCTTTCTCTTTGGCGCGTCTATGTCGCCCTTCGCTTTTTTTCTCTTTTTATTCTCCATTCCCCTTTCTCTTAGCGCAGAGTAGCAAACAGGATGCTACGATTTCTGGTCAACCTTTCTGCCTTTCCCTCATTTTATTCTCTCTCTCTCTAGATGATTATGTTTAAGCGTGACATTCAACTTTAGACTATATTACATGTAGTCGAATACAAAGTTCTGAATTATATTTTTAAGGCACTTCTGAGATAAATGCATCCAACATAATCCACGAGTAAACTTTGGCAGAAAACTGGAATCTACTTTAACGTTCCTTGCGTACAGCAAAAAAACTGGCGCATCTGATTGTCTCAGATTCGTCTGAATGATTTGCACGTTATGTCATCTCATTTTTGCAAGCCTCTTCAGCCGACCCCTACACAATGAAACGTTACGTGACCATTTGGCAGCTGATTTGCACACCTTTGATGCATATTTAGAGGACATCCTGCTTACTCAGGTACAAGGCAAAGCACCCCTTAAACACAAGATAACTTGTCGTGGTCCCATCCCAGGGCAAGTTATCTTTTCGTTCACTTTTCTTTCTTTGCATTAACGTTACATTCACCTCGTGTGGTGAATAACACTTTGCGTAAATACACTTGTTAAAATATTTGTGTTTAAGAACAATATTAACAAGACCTAACAGAAAATATTACAAAGGAGAGTGTTGGAGATGTTGTTCGTATGTCAAATTCAATATCCTCCCTTTTGTCCTGTGAAAACTGGCGGTTACGCACAATTAGTTGAGTATAGAAGCACAGTTGGAGTTTTTTCAATACGACTAGAAAAAGGCCATCTTTGCAAAGAAAAGAAAGCGACATATCCCATCATCCGATGCAACACTTTTTTATCTCAGACTGTAGTTACGCAACGCTTTCACTCATTGTGACTGTGTTCACCTGTATATGCTTTCTTTGTGCTTTCCCCAAATGATGATTAAAACATATAATATTGTAGAGAAAACAAATTGAGCCCCATACATGTAGGCTATGATATTAGATTTCAGTTCAGTATGCTGAGTAATGTTAAGTACGTCAATATTTCGTAAAGCCGTGGTGATATTTAGAAGGATGTAACAACATGCTTGTTTCGGTCAGCAATAGCGAAAAAAAAAATTGTCTTTCACTCCTGATCATATTCGCGACCACCCATTATGTTCGCAGGCGTCATTCGCTGAATTTACGTTATGAAAACAAATAATTACGTCTCATTGTAATATTTTAAATAGATCTTTCATTTCCATAGAATGAAGAGTTTCAACCATAGAAGCTGTGAAATCACCCTACTTTGTTTATTTCTGAGTGAGCCATACTTCACAATTCACAATAGAATAATGTAACTTTGCTTAGCACTTTCAATCCTTCGTCGTAGTGCCCGGCTTAATGAAGGAAAAATACACAACAGGCGCGTTTATTAAGTGGCATTGCATAATTTGCCGCTGAAATTTTGATCATGCTGGCTGAGTGGCACAAAATTTTTTTTAACATGAAATCACCTTTTCCAGCATGTCTGAACATTGTGCCATTCGTAACTAGCACAGCATATAATAGGTTGGCTATGTTTTTCATCTTCTGTCAGACAGCTCCAACAAACATCGTCACACAATTATGAGGCGAAATTATTATTCGATATGCTGCAGCTGCCAACTGTGAGATGCCTTTTTACATTAATACCCCAGTGTTTACAAGTGTTAATATTGAAACAATATGTGGCAAGTTTGCACTTAGTCACGCAAAGCTTGGCACAACGAAGCACGGTTGAGTCGCCACTCTCTAGGCAACCCATTTCTACATTTCTCTATATGTTTTATAGAGCTTTCCGGATGTCTTTGTTTTTTTGTTAGTTTTTAGATGCGAAGCAGCTTATATTCGAGTGCAATCCAGTTTGCAGCGTGATCACCCTTACTCTGCATGCGCGTCCGCCACTTCTCTATCGACTCGTAACGCCGACATAGGCAGAGTGTGCTATCAAGTTTCTAAATATTATAACACTGACTGATTACACTACACAACCGTTCACTACCCCCCCCCCCCCCCCCGTTTGTACAGGCAATGGATCTTGGCCTCCAAGGTAGTGCCAGTGAGATATTTATTCTGTGCCTTGTTGAACAATGAAAATTCGCAGCCTGCGCACTAACTGAAAGCGGACTGCGGGTCTCGGTGTCCAATCGCAGTCTTCCGTCTCTTATTTGCAATTAGCAGTGATTGGCACGTTTCAATAGAAAACACCGGTCTATCACTGCGTGCTTTGCGCCTCCCCGAATGTCTCCCCTGCGCAACGCCGCAATGAGCGCCAGCGCCAACATCGTCGCCAATGTAAACGTTAGCACCCCGCTGCTTGGCATCTATGCTTTCCTTTAGCGGGAGATGTGAATACTTGCTTTCTCCTTTTGCATTTTATTCCTGCTTTGACTGTGCTTCTGTCTGCTTATTTCTATTTCCACATTTGTCTCCCTCTATTTCAATCTCTTTCTTTCGTAGTTTTGTCTCACTATATGTCTATTGTCTCTCACTTTCTCTTTATTTCTGTCATTTATTCTGCAGTTTTTTTCAGCTCTTTATTTTAGTCTTCTCTGTTTCTCTTGCTACATTTCTTCTTTTCTCATTACTTATACGCTATAATTTTCTCTCTCCTGTCCTATTTTGCATCTTCTTTAACCTCACTATCCCTCTCTGGCCCCTCTCTATGCGATACTATAAGAGGACGCGCATTATTTTGATAGCGGGCCTAGGTATCCGTGTGATTAAGACTCTCGCATACAAATCGTGGGTACGCTGATTTGAATCCTGCCACCTCATGAGAATTTTTTGTCAACATTTTCTCTTTCTTTATATCTGTTCCTCTGTTTCTTTCTCTCTTTTTTGCCTTCCTCCTAAACCCCACACCTCTCCTTCACTTTGTTCTTCACTCTTGCCATGCGCCGCACTAATCCGTAAACGTGTTTTAGGAGCAAAGGTGGAGAGGAGAACAAAAAGAGCGTGCGCTGGTTCATGATAATGACAATTTTGATCCCTACATTTCACGCGGGCCTTGAACAGCTTTGCTGTTAAAAAAAACAAAACGTTAACTTCAAGGCAGGCGCAGGCCGCACTTCCAGACTCACAACATTGATTGATTGATATGTGGGGTCTAACGTCCCAAAACATCCATATGATTATAAGAGACGCGGTAGTGGAGGGCTCCGGAAATTTCGACCAGTTGGAATTCTTTAACAGACTCACAACAAGCACTCACAAAAGCCTAGACATGCACGCAAACAAAAACGCATTCACACACACACACACACACACGTGCCACCATGCGCACATGCTTGCAAACAGACACATGCATGTACAGATATGCAGACACGCAAGCACGTCTATTTTCACACACATGCATGCACACATTAATGCACGCGCGCACACGCGCTTACACACATTTACACACGCGTGCAGGTACACACGCACAAGCATGAAGACATACGCACGCACGTAAATACACATGCACAATGCACACACATCAATACGCGTGGATATACACATGCACACGCATGCATGGGCACACACGCATGCAGAGACAGCCAGAAATGGACATTTTCTGGTGTTGTAACAATTTTCGGTCACAGCACTGGTAATTGATTGGTAATTATTATATAGAACAGAGTAATACTGCGAATATTGATATTAGGTTTGAGGGCTGGGTCAGTTGGCCAATAACGCTGAAGGAATGAAGCAGTCAGAAAGACGGAGGATAAAATAGAGTACTCGCATATGCGACAACAACTGGCCATTCATGCTACTTCTCTCTTTCGTCCTTTCAACTAGTTCATTCAAAAAGCAAATACAATCTCTCATGCCACTATCCAAAGTAAGACTTCCAAAAAGCTGCCGTGTTGCTCGGTTGTATTACACTCTACAGCTCTGCTGTTTAACTCACTGGAAGGTCGAAATAAATTGCCGTACTGCCCTTATTTGGGAATATTCGATATAACTCCTTCAGCTGTTGTGCCTATTTCTGTGTGCGCAACGTGCTTATGGTTCTTGTGTTGTCTTGTGCAATGAAGGTGCAAATTGAATGAGTTGAACTTTTTTTTTTTGCATTTTGACTTGACCTTCGTTTACTGCGTATCAGTGTAGCCAATAGCTTCCACGACAGCACCGTGATGTTCTGCGGGTCGCACGACGTGCATTGTTTCAGTAGCAACACCGAAATTGTTATTTTTTTTTCTAGAATTTAATAAAACCAAAAACTAAGCACGCACACGTACGACGGAACAGAATGGTTTCTTTCATTTACGCAGAAATAAAACAGGGCTGACAGCAAAATGATTAAACATTTATTGACATACATGAAACTGAAACACATAAAAAATGTACTCCTAAATTCGCTTTCTTGGAACGTTATACTGGGTACCTTGGAATTGTTCGATGCCATTGAGACACACTCACCATACAGTTCATCATACTTAGTGCGTGGATGGTGATATTCATGCACCATTCCCATGCAGACGTACGTGGCTGACATCTTCATGTCCCAGACGTGGCGCGACCACAGGCTGCGACTACCGCGCAACATGACGGCCAAGTACCGGCTCCTGCCGGTCAGCTGGTTGCAGCGAATGTGGAGGCCCGACACTTTCTTCAAGAACGCCAAGGGCGTCACCTTCCAAGAGATGACCATCCCGAATCACTACATATGGCTGTACGCCGACCGACGCATCCTCTACATGGTCAAGTGAGTAACGTCGTCAAGGCATTTGCCTGTTCTAACCGGCATCCTGGACTGACTTTTACACCACCTTAGCTACTTCACTCTCATCAATTCTGCAGCCCCCTCACCCCATTCAAAACAAAAAAGGTTACCCAAAAACAAAAATGCATAAGTAAAGAAAAGAACACTATGGACAACTAGCAACATTCAAACGTTTTTTCAGTATTTGAAGTCATCAGCTACAACTTCGGTGAGGACAGTTGAGCAGCGCTGTTGTGCAGCTCTAAACTCAAGGACCAAACTTTAGCCATCCACAGTGCTTGCGAATTCGGCAGCCAAGCTACGCTTCGTGATCCCAACGGGGGCACTAGCCTGGTGGCACGGGGTTTCCTCTGCGTATTCTCTGGACGCAAATGAGGTTTTCATCATCATCATCAACCCACTCAAACAAACTTAGAAAATAACATTGCAGAGGACAGTTTTCTTCAAGTTCACTTTACGCACATCATATTGAAAAGCGAGTAGTAGATGTCTAGATGAAACAAACGTGCCTCCATGAAACGTGTAGGAACGTATAAAGTGCTGAGCTAAGACTCCTCTGGTACTGTAAATAAAAAATATTTGCCACAACGCATATGCAAGTCAAGAAAACCTCGTTCTTGCTGCCAACGAGAGCAGAAGTTTACAGCAGAAGTGAAAATGGCTGAACGTTGTTGTGCAGCGCGCAAAAGGTCAAAGAAAACGAATGTAAAAGAAGACCCATCTATTGCGTTTCGTTTGACGAGCGTGGAACATTCCATGTACCCTCGCAATTTCCATGTAGTGGTTTCGCCGTTGAGTCATACACAAGAAAATTCAACAAGAGGGCTTACCCACCGGTGAAAGCCTTAGACAGTGATGAGGCGTCCAGTGTGAGGTGTCTGAGATAAAGCGTCTAGTGCCCCGTGTCAGTGGCATTTTCCGTCCCGTGGCATCAGAGACGTACGGATGGTGAGAAAAATCACAATAAGATGAAATCCAACACATGACGTCAACCTGACATTTCAGATCGTCGAATTTTGTCACTTTGTTACGATGTCCTAACGAGGACACAGGAACACACACCTCATAATATCGCATGCTGACGTCATAACGTGGTATCGATACTTGGTCAAAGATGACCCGACCATGGAGGCAATGCCACACACGCGAGGTGCCTCAAACCTTAGAGGCAGTGTGAAACCACCTTAGGTGCAGAAATCTTTCAAAGCGTGGTGGGGCCTGAATAATAAACTGGCTCAGTTGAAAAAAAAAAAAAGATGTCTGCAGTCTTTGAGTGGTCTGAAATGAATGCATTCGGAACCCAGCGAGTTTGTTTCACCTAACCTCGTGCAGCGCCTGAAGTACACACTCTCTTCGTTAAGTTTTCCCATTATTTTGTCATTGTCTACGAGGTTCACTGACGGCAAAACATTACATTTCCTTTAATAAGGTACCGTAGCTGTGGCATTGCGCGTACGCGTCCACTTAACTACGGGAGGTGCGGGGTTCGATCCCCAGTGCCAGCCGGCCACACACCGGTAGCTAAACAGGGTACAGGTGGGCTTCGAGGGGCTGTGACGCGTCGCCCCAGTGGTGAAGCTTACTCTGTCTGGAGGACTCCCAACCCGTTGCGCGGGCACCCGGTTCCTTTAATAAGGTAGAATCCTCAAGCGTATAAATATAAATTAGAACGTGAAACGACTGGACACAAGATTCAACTATACGGGAGAAGTAGCCTTTTAGTGCTCTACTTTCATATTCCGACCATGCAGAAACTCGCCCCGCCATACATTCCTAACTGTCTTGCTGAGTGGCCTCTTGAGAAGAACACGGCAGGTTAATGAAGTGGGGCGAAAACCTGAGTGGCTTGTGTCACTGCTTACGTCATGTGACGTAATCAAGTAACACTCAAATTTCGTCACAGGTCATCCAAAAAAAAAAACGGCAGTGGAGTGAAGAATGGACGCTTGCGATGAAAAATCCATACACGGATGTTTTGTCCAAACGTCAGCTCGACACAACCCCTGTTCACAGATTTTTCTTCACACATCATAGAAATTCGTAACGTTATCTTCGAACGACGTTTGATGACGTCATTATGACTCCGTCCCCAGACGTCAGAGGTCACAGATACTTGTAAAGTCACTAGTGACTTCATGTGACGACGTCATTGTGACGTCATCACTTTGTTTACATGATCAGAACATCGCACTGCATTGTCGCTTGGTAAAGAGGGGGGGGGAGGGGAATGGAGGTTTACAGCAGCACTTGACGTGTAGAAGACTTCAAGGGACAGGAGAAGCGATGTAATTGACTCAGAAGGCCTAAAGTAATCTAATGCGTGCCTTCAACACTGCGGATAGTTAGGCTTTGAACGAAGCCTCCTCTGAAATTGCCAAGCTTAATATTTTGCAATGTACGTAGCACGCGTTCGCTTTGAAGTGTCGCAGAGAGTAAAACTCTTCGTAACTCTTCTTGCAAACTCTACCAAGTGAATTTCTTTATTCAATCTATACGCTTCCTGGCATCGCAAAGTGCTTCTCTGGGCCTTCGCTCTAACCCCGGGAAATATTCAGCGAAAGAGGTACCCCACTATCACCACTGAGTGCCTCTGAGAGATGACGCACCGTCACAAAGTTCCGGCCTCCACCACATCGCCGCAGCACGGGTAGTGCATTAGCCGCGAGACATTAGTTGGCTTATACGGCATTCGCGACAGCTGCTCCCTCTAGGCAGGCACAAATACAGCGCTTGCATATTTTGGCCCACCTCTGGCACGCTATGTAGTGAGGACATATTCTGAAACCCGAATGAGAAAAAAAATGCAAAAAAAGAATCCCACGAGCCGCGTTCCAGAAAACCTCGTTCTTCTCCTCGCTCACCGAGGAATTCGTTCGCTTGGTAAGTGTCCCGCGATAGCGAGGCAGGCGTGCTTGCTGTCGGAGTGGTGAACGCAGAAGAGAGACGACAATGTTATGCTACGCCGCGAATCTGTGGATTGCACGCATTCTGTCTGCGAGGGTCGTTTACACACCGCAAGCGTGCCCGTGGCTTCTAAGGAATGCATCTTGCTATGTGTAATAAGGTTAAGCTACGTTAAGCTAGGATAGTTTTAAAGTATGCACACCGGTAGACGTGGCACGCATTCTCGCGTGCACGAGAGCACTGGCAAACTGCTGACACGCTATGAAATTTTCGAATGAACTCGCTGTGCTTGCTTTTCCGGACTTCAAACGAGATACGGCACGTGCCGTGTTTACAGAGTTTAATGTGTGCCCTGTCATGGAAAGACCCACATTTCGACGCTACTAAGAGGAAAAAAAAAAAAACGTGAATGCGCATGCGTCAGAAAAAAACAAACAAACTCGCAGAATTCCAAGGCTGAAATCGCAGAACTTCTGCACTGTGTCTGGCTAAGTGTGGGCAAGTGCAAGCTATCAAGCGCCGGCGCACAACACGACTTCATTTCATCATGTGGCGTTGACAGACAGAAGAGTCGCTGCTGCTCACGATAGTGAAAACTTGGGTGGATGTGTGCCAGTTTCATCAAGGTACCCTAGGTAGCAAAAGAAAAAAAATCGGTGCTTCTCAGTGTGGCACTATTCAGGATGAGATCGCTGTAAATAGTCTCATGGTTACTATTTATATGCATTTAAAAAAAAACAAAATTTCTTCATACGTTTTACTACGCATGACCCTTTTGTGCACGTGCAACCACTAAGTTCTCAAACGACATTGCGATTGCTAACAACCTGAACTATCTCGCAGTACATTTAGCTGTTCAATGCGCAGCCCATGCATGCCAAAATCCAATGGCGAAATTCCCTAATGCCTGAACGCATCGCCACAAAGTTCTGGCCTACACCACATCGTCACAGTTAATGTAGTGTATTAGCCGTGAGACATTCATTAGTGGCCTTATAAGCCATTCGCGACAGTTCCTCTCACTAAACGACACAAATACTGCGTTTGCATTATTCGACCCGCCTCCGGCATGCTATGTTGTGAGAACATATTCTGAACCTCAAATAAGAACAAAAAAATGCTAAAGAGAACCCCCCGAGTCTCCTCGCTCAAACTCACCGAGGAATTCGTTCGCTCGATGAGTGTCCCGTGTTTGCTGTCGGAGTGCAGAACGCCGAAGAGAATCCACCGCGCATCTGAAAATTCCGCTCATTATGTTCGTGCGGGTCGTTTACACACTGAAAACGTGTCCGTCGCTGCTAAGAAATGCATGCTGCTGCCTGTAATAAAGTTACGCTGCATTAAACTAAGAGGATTCAAAAAAGTACACTGACTGGTTTACAGGTGGCGCGCATTTTCGCGCGCATGAGAGCACCAGCAAACTGCTGACACGCTATAAAATTTTCCGCTATACTCGTAATGCTCGTTTTGGCAGACTTGAAACCAGATACGCTGAGTGAGGTGCTTACAGAGTGTGCACTGTCACGGAAAGACCCACATTTTGTCGCGCCGAACTAAGAGAAAAAAAATATACCGCAAATGTGGTTGCGCCAAAAAAGAAAATAGACTTGCAGAATTCAAAGGCCAAATTCGCAAAACGTCTGCACTGTGACTGGCTGAATTGCGGGCAAGTGCAAGTTCACAAATGCAGGCCCACAACACCACTTTTTGCCACTTCGTTCAATCATACGGCGCTGACAGATGGAAAAGTCACGGCCGCGCACGATTGTAAAAATCTGGGTGGCTGTGCAACAGCTTCAACAAGGTACACTAGGTGGTAAAAGAAAAAATGATCGTGGCTTCTCGGTGCGGTGTTATTATCACATTGGTGTAAATGGTCTGATGTGTACTACATATGCGCATTTCAAAGCAACAAAATTTTCTTCGCATGTCTGACTATATACGCGCGACCCTTTTGGGCACCTTTAACCACAAACTTCACAAAAGACCATGCGATTGCTAATAACCTGAACTATCCTGTAGTGCGTTTCGCTGTTGAAATCGCAGGCCATGCGCAAACCCCATGGCAACACACAGTTGCGAAAGAAGCTAGGCGTAACATCTTTATACATTTTTTTAACAAATGACAGTGAATACATGCGCCTGCGGCTGGTCATACGAGTCAATATTTATCTAGCCAGCAACGCTGAGTCAACAACAAAAGTTTTAAAAACCTGTTGGTGCTCTGCGCCCGCTTTTATGGGGTGGTATGTTTGTACTAACGCCCCGAAAGAAACCGTTTTGCAGTTTAAATTGAAGGAGGCGTGATGAAGCGCACGCACTAAAGCTTCATAGACACATTTATACACATCTTTTCAATTTTAGTCATCTTGCTTTTTGAGATGAGGCTTTTCTGCAGAAATATTACTCACCACTCAATTTTCAGAAGAATGCAAGTTAGTTCCATTGCAAGCGTAAGGCCCAATTTACCTCCTTTTGTAGCATTCGCTGGTATTAAAGGAATGGACACCTATTTTTATATATATTCTTAGTATAGTCACTTCAGGTGCTTTGAAATAAATAAATTTTTGCATATTCTTTTTCTTTGCTGCTTTTCGCGTCCTAGTTAGATTCTGCCAAACTTGTGCACAGTGCCTTTATATATAGATTTCCTATAGTAATCGGTCCTATTCGTACTATGTGAGACTGCGTTGTTCCTGAATTTCCTGTCGTTATTTTAGCTAATAATGTCATTTAACACAATATATTAAACACAATAAACAATTAGGCTCCACCGTGTTGCACACATGCAAACGCTGTTTGTAGACACATTAACTCAAAAAATTTCTGATGCTAGACGCGTTACCAAGGCTGTCAGCTAATGTAGCAAACCATGCTTCAAAAATAGATTCATAAATAAAAAAATGCTTTTTTCCCTGCAATTATTCATGATGTCTGTCTCACTTGTGTCCCAGCTCGTCATGGTAATTGCTTCAGGGTATACTGCAGTGACAACTGAAACTTTTGCAACTCAGCCCTTCTGAAGACTGCATTTTAGAATTGAATAATCACCCTTGCCCTTTACCGCGTGCCTGTTCGATTGCTGAGATCGCCATGGCTCTGCGCAGGTTGACCCTCTTGCTGTCGTGCGCCATGAAGTTTGAGACGTACCCCCACGACACCCAGATATGCACGATGAAGATTGAAAGCAGTAAGTATGTGGTCCGGAAGGCAAATCCTGTTCGCTGAACCGACTGAGTGACTGTTCACTTTGATAATAATATTATTTCGGGATGTTTCATGTTCCAAAACAAACATGCAATTACGAGAGACGCCGTAGTGAAGGGCTCCGAAAATTTTGACCATTTGAGGTTCTTCAAAACGCACCCAAATCTCAGCACATGGGCCTTGAGCATTTTCTCCTTCATCGAAAATGCAGCCGGGATTCGATCCCGCGACCTGCGGGTCAGCAGCCGAGTGCCTTAGCCACTGGACCACCGTGGCGGGCTCTGTGCACATAGAGTTTCGTAAAATTAACCAGGGGGAATTCTGGCGCTGCGATCATTCATACACCATGAGATTAGTGGGTAGTACACGGATTCGCCCAGTATTGTTGATTTTGGGCTTCCAACGCACTTGTGGTTTTTCTCCATTGTTTGTCTTGTTTTTTTTCTTTCGAATAAAATAATGTACCTTTGTGAATTTTGTGAGGTGATTATAATTGGTGTGTCTAGCCTTTCAACCCCCGTCCCTCCTCTAAAAGGGTGACTTACACATGTGTATTGAATAAAAAGGCGAGGACTCCAATCACAAGAGAATATAAACGAAAGTAGCTAACGTGGTTGCTTGGGCGAGTTGGTACGACATGATTCACATAAAAAACAGCGCCAAAAAACGAGAGACAAGAAAAAGAAGGAGACAGACAGCGGCACTGACTGTCAGTGCCGCTGTCTGTCTCCTTCTTTTTCTTGTCTCTCGTTTTTTGGCGCTGTTTTTTATGTGAAGAATATAAACGCTTTGATGTTTCCACGCCCACAAAGGCAGCCTTATTTTACAACTTTCCTTTCTGGTTCCAGGATTGTGAACAAGGCTTTTGTTCTAGAGGTTGAAACGTCGATATATATTTATTCGCGTGTGGTAGGTGTCTTCGCCCGTTTTCTAAACGATTCTTTAATACCCAGCGGGTGTCCGTTGAAACCTTGGTTTCGGATGCGCATATATACATGCACGTGTGCAAACGCACGCGCGAACATTTGTAAAAAATAGCCGAGCCAATCGCCCCTCCCCCCTCCCGCCTTCCTGCAAAAAGATCACCGGCTAGTCTCCTGCAATAATAATGTATACGACTGTGCTATGTAAAATATTCACTCATTGAAACACTACACGATGTTTTTTTTCATACAATTAGTTCGTTGAATAATTGATTATGAGAACGAAGCCATCTAGCTGCAAATTTGGCATCAAGTCGTATTGTTGATGCCGGTGTAAGCCTTCGAGTGAGAACAGCGCTAATATGAAACGAACTGTGTAGACATTGGATTTAAAAGTGGGAAATTTACTTAGCCCAAAGTACTATTTATTCAATTTGTGAGCTGTGTGCAGTGTGGCTGTAGCACGAATCTTGCTCATTGACAAAAATGACGTACTAAAATAAACGCACATGGTGCTAGTGGGAATAACAGCAAAGCATTACGAACGCGCCCACATAAGCAGTATTATTTCACTACGTAGCCTGATGGCATTGTTCAAAGTTCCGCATGAACAGTTTCAGAAACAGTGTGACTCTACTTGATAATGCCGTTGGTATATCGCAGATAGGTTCTGATTTCATCATGGTTGTCGAATAAGTGGCCAGATCAGTGACTCCACGTCCTAAACGGGTGCGATGCTTACGGTGAAAAATAAACACCGTTATCAAATAAATAGAAAATGGTACCCAGAAAATTCTGTTTTCTTTTACGGTTGTTTCTGTAAAGTTTTCATCCATTGCCGGTAGAAAGCCATTGGCAAACTATGTGATGTCACCTTTACATTGGAACGGACAAAACTTTATTTAAAACCGGCAGAGCGTCCGGGCCTAGGCCACCCGGGTGGTTGCAGTAAGATTTAGCCTTTCCGCCACTTCCCGGGCCTGGTAGTTGGCCCAAATTTGGTCTTCAAATTCTGAGCTAGCTGGAGCGTCGAGCCAACGCGTCATTAGGAGGTCCGGGTTTTGGTGATCGAAAAAGCCGTGTGGAGTGTGGGCATTTCCAAAGAATGTGCTCCAGGTGTGCGCATTCGTGTTTACTTAGGATACAGCCAGCGTCGGGAAATCGCCTGGGTTATATGCGGTTGGGGTGCACTGGGTTTTGAAACGTTCTAGTTTGTAAGCGCCTCACGTCTACTTCTTGTGACCCATCTAGTTTAGGGTGGAGTTGTGAGTGTATCTCTCTTTGTTTTTTTTTTATCTCAGCTTTGATAGGTTGCCTTTATGGTTAGACAACAGAAGCAGTTGCTGAAGTTTGGGCTTCCTAAAAGACCGCGCATAATTCACGAAAGTGAGTCATCTGTGCATGCGTACAGGTGCGTGCATACAAATACGTACGCAATCACATGTTTGTCGTAAACGTATTGTCATCATAACCCATGCCAGGTTAGTAGCGAGTAGAGCATGTGTTCTTCAGCGGTACGACACAAAAAGTGAAAGTTTTCTACGAGAGTTTCAAATTTCACTCGCACTGTGATCGCAATACGAGCGCCACACGTCACACGCACTATAGCCCAAAAACACGCGCTTCCAACACAAGAGAACCTGTCATATGCAGCGCTGCAACTTGTGCCGCCCGGCGCGCTACGCCTCGATGATTGTATACACTGCTTTTCGTAGTCTCGTACACAACCGACGACTTGGTGTTCGCATGGGAGGACGAGGTGCCCCTCGTTGTTGACGAATCCATCGAGCTGCCCCAGCATAACTTGGTGTCAACGACGATGGGAGACTGCACGCAACTATATTCAACTGGTACGCCTTCAATCTTGTTCAAACTTCGCGAATCCACCCAGTTTTAAAAAATTCTACATTGACGTACACTTATATTGCGAACCCGGTTAATCTTAAGTTATGTGAACCCACTCAGTCAATTTTGAAAAATCTTGAAGAGCCGTACTTATCACCCTGTCAAACTTCGTTAGCGATTCTTACTCTAAAGATACCTTTCACATGTCATCTCATGAAGATAATTCACATATTCTCGTATAAGAGGTGAAAAGAACCGGTTGTTTAAATTCTTATATCATAGCACTTTGGTCAGGATGATTTGGCCTGAATGTTTCATGTTGAATGCGGTGAAATGGGTTGGTATTTTACTGCTATTCCTTTCTGCAGATATATAATAGCGGTTGAATATATAAAAGAAGAGGGCGCATTTTTTATAGTGCTGTGAATTATGAATGTTGTTATAAACCTCCAGCTTTTTATCCGAAAAAGTTTTTGTCATTTTTCACCTCGTAGTTAAGGTTAAACATACTTGAAGAATGACGATATATACCCATGTATACAATCGTGTTGAGTCCTGCATAGGGTCAGTTGAAAAGCTTTTGTTTTATCACAGCCCCCCATGCTAGCATGATGCAGTCTTTAAATGCAGTTCGATTACTTGGCGTGTCAATGAGCTGATTAAAACAAATGTTGCATTGCAAGCTTGCTTATTTTTTTTTCGTACAGCAGTGTCACTGGCACCCGAAGTTCAAAGTTTTTATACCATGTACTACTGTATGACTTCGCTCTTCGCAGGCAACTTCACCTGCATCCAGCTCGTGTTCACGCTCAAGCGGCGTCTGGGCTACTACATGTTCCACACGTACATCCCTACCTGCCTCATCGTCATCATGTCCTGGATCTCCTTCTGGATCAAGCCCGAAGCCGTGCCGGCCAGGGTCACACTGTGTGTCACCAGCCTGCTCACGCTGTCCACGCAGCACGCGCAGTCGCAGAAGTCCCTGCCTCCCGTGTCGTACATCAAGGCCATCGACATCTTCATGTCCTCGTGCACGGTGTTCGTGTTCGCCTCGCTCATGGAGTACGCGCTCGTCAACATCCTCATGGGCGAGACAGAGGGCGACGAAGGGGCTCGTCGAAGGAGCATCCGGAGTGTCGTCATTTCGCCACGAATTCCGGTGAGGACGGTTCCCGTAGGTGTGGCAGCTTGGGCTAGTGTGTATGGCATGACGAGAGTTAGAGCGCGAGAACAAAACGACGACACATAGACAAGAAGGACACGAGTGTCCTTCTTGTCTCTGTGTCGTCGTTTTGTGCTCACGCTACAACTATCGTTGCCATAGGCTTCCCTTTCAGAAGGGGAGGGGTGGGGTTGGGAGGTTCGTCACAGCAATCCCCTTACTATTGTGGCAATGTATGCGGCTGACTTTGCGCCCCTCCCCGAGTCACAGCGCCCCCACTCCCTATTATGTTAAGGTACATGGCTGGCTTCGTGCCCCCTCTCTAAGGTGACTAGGACTATAACAGTCATATAGGCATGAAGGAGGGGTGCGTCTTCCCCCCTCATTATCTACGTCCACCTCACACAATTACTCAGTTCATATGCTGTCGTCATCGTATCAAGCACCTTGTAATGGCCATGCCGATTTTGTGCGATAATGGTGACCCTGGACCTCCGTGTTGCGTTACAGACTGGACATATCATTTCTTAATTTACTAAGAAGGCTCTTTTAAATGTGATGGACTAAAAAGCGTGGATTGACCACCAACTAAAGAGCACCAGCTGAGTGGTGTTTGTTTTTTCAGTGCCGGGTCCGTTCTATACCATACATATAGCTACGTAGCTGACATATCAGTGGTCAGAAGACGACAACGAGGAAGTGGTCTGTCGGTTGTGCGTGCTGTCTTCCATCTTAGTCGACGCCATACGCATCAGTTTTGAATATAGATTTTAAATAAGCACGCCTCGTGTCATTTTTACGTAACATCTTTGTAATGGACGTGCTGGGTACTTCCCCGTCTTCATCACGAAGCTCCGCAACGGCCGCATCATCATAGGTCCAACCATGTCACAGGTTGGACAACCATCGTCTTCTGGCCACTGATATGTCAGCTACGTAGCAATATCATTACTATCCAGCTACCACAGCAACAAACTTTATAGAACTTCCTTTACATAAATAATGGGTTTCTGTCACTTGATTCAAGGGGCGCGGGAGTGCCGTGTGGTCGGGGACCTTTTGTCGTGACACTGTTATAAAATGACTTGTCGTGACATTGATATAAAAAGACTTGTCGTGATACTGATATAAAAAGACAGCGCCGAAAATGAACGCAGAGAACGCAAACGCGAGAGAGCATGTACCTTACTGACAGTTGAAGTTATTATTTAAAAACAAAGCATGAGAAAAGAAAAGCAGACGTTTTAGTGCCCATCAAGAGGTTTTTTTTTTCCTTAGCAGGCTTTACACCGACATGGATTCTCATTGCCCAAAGTGCAAGGAATATTTCTGTCTTTGCGCACACATTCTTGGGCAGTGCCATGTGTTACAAGACTTCAACAACAGAGAGGACTAGGAGAAGGACACCACGAGTTACAAACTGGAAGAACAGTCGAATCAGTCCAAAGGGCCCGTGAGAGAAGAGAGAGGCATGGCCTCCCGGTTCCAACATAAAATTAGCGGAAAGTGAGCCAGAGGTCATCTGTAGCACTGCACTGACTAGCTTCTCAGGACCTTAATAAAGTTCCTTGTCTGTCTGCCTGCTTGAACCAGTGGTGGCTGATTTCTTTTCCATCTCTTGTTGTCATCCAAAACATGTTCTTTTTTTTCCTGTCCTCTTTTCCTACCATATAAAAGAACAATAATTATAGTGAGATGCTGCTTAGCATACTTCTAAACATCCCGGGAATTTAAATATCGACTGTCTGTTCCTAATCTGTTTATTGTCTCTTTTCTGCCACTGTATTCTTAAACTTAAGTTTACATATTGTGTTTGAGGTTCTATTTTACACACCCCAGTATCTTATCATCCAATTCATAATTCACTCAATTAACCAATTGCGATTATACAACACAAGTGCAAGGATACTCAAACGACCTGATACCGCACGTAGTGTGGCCCCAAAATAAGTTTAATCGTGATGCTCATGACAGCGAAGTTAAATAAAGAGGCGTTCTATGCACAGGGGTAGATCAAACAGCATCGCTGAACGACTTCTCACTTTGCAGGAGAACAACGCTATGCCCAACGGAACTAAGCTTCCGAAGCCTCCCGAGACTATTGCCGGAGAATGCCGGCAGAGGGCAATGCTCGTCGACAAGATAAGCCGCATTGTGTTTCCCACGTCGTTCGTCCTGCTTAACTGCATCTACTGGTCCTTGTACATCGACTCCTCCTGAGGACCACACGTGGGCGACACGGCTGCCGCTGTGTTCGCGCCCATTACCAACGGCATTCATCACTTGGTACCAATCAACCTTACTCAAGAAGATTTTGGGGCCGCGGTGAATTAACGAACGGAGATGAAAGATCCGGACGTGCACATTCGTTAAGAACTGCTTGCAGTGGCAACGTTGCAGAGTGTGTCCGCTATTCTCTCATTGATATGTTCTGTATTGGGGCGAAGTGTACATAGTGAAGCGTTACACTGTATTCGCCTTACGCAGATGTAGAAGTTTTAACTACACGCGTGCCTACAGGACTGGGAAATATTGTTTAAGGTGCTCTGTGAACATTTTTTTTCACGTTTTTTTTGGTGAGCCTGTCTTTCTGCATAATTGCAACAACGGCAAGAAACCTTCGAATGGCCCAACTTCCCTCACACCTCCTCCAATGCCACTGTGTAAACATGTCAGTACGTATCTGCGAATTACTTCTCACCAATACAGCAATTTCACCGACGCGCACAGATTTAACACAATAAGATCAGCAAAATGAACGATCTAGAGTGAGGTGTTTTTTTTCTTAGATGTCGTACGAGTGAAAGATTCAACCTGAAGCCCCAAAAGCAACATCAAGCACACTCTTTTCTTTGCAGTGCATAAAACAGGAAAGGAAAAAAAAAAGACTAGAGGTGAGCATAATCCTCGACGCACATGTCAGGTTGGGGTATTCGCACACAGGACTTCGTGTTCTCCGATGCATTCTTTGAGTTACCTTCCCGTCACTTCACACCACCGAAGCAGATCTCCGAGGCCAAGTAAAAAGAATGGCGAGGTTTAAATCTGCTCCGCCATGTGCCGGCCACTATTCGATCTATCAAAAAAGTATGTCCGCTCTTTCAGTGTACTAATTCAGTTAATTATCAATTATTGTGACAGTCGATTGTCCCTGATCTTAAGTAATGTTATGCTGCAATATTATGTGTTCGTACAGCTCTTAACTGGAACGACAACCAAGAATCTTGCATCAGTTCTGTTTTTTCTAAACGTACTCTCCGATTATTCACATAACCTGACATAAGCGCTAGAACGGGAACACGTAAGTCATTACTCGTGCCAGCGCCTCCAACCATTGCCTAGAACAGCCTCCAAGGAGGCCCTGAAAGAGGCCATGCTTCCTGTCTCGTGTCGCAACCAGGCGCTGTGGTTGCGACACTGCGAAGGTACCGCTCTGCCTACAGTGCCCCGACTTCAGATCATGGTGGTGCCCCTTACCCCCCACTCCTCCCTCTACTAATGTCTGGCCACGCCCCTGTGCAGTTTAGTCACGTGACAGAACCTTGGCAGCTGCTCGGAGACAGACGTGAAAGCTTTGCGTGCTTAGAAGGAACGACCACCAGAGGTCCTCGCCTACGTACGGGGGCGTACTGCAGCGCGTTCGCGGCTCACGTTCCAAGCAGTAGTATTTTTTGGAAGGCGTTGCTCCTGCCCACATACCACCTCCTGTTGGAGACTCACGCATCTCACCCCGCATCATCTTCACATGCCTTCAAAATGCGGAATCTCACGAAAGGTGAATGTTTCTGGCAATCGCTTTCAGTTTTATCTGTCCTACATGTGCGTCTACTGTCGCGTCTCTCACGCAACTCAGTGCTCTCGTGAAAAGTGCATCGATTATAACTGTTGCCCTTCGACGCATCGTTCACTGCGCGCGCTCTGGTTGACCTGTTTACGGTGTGTCAGTGTTGTTCATGTTGAAGTGAATCATTATGCAGTTTTAATTAAAGCGGAACATGTGTTGTCACCATGTCAGCTAAAATAATTCTTGTGTGTTGTGACGAGGAAGTGAACTAAAGTAGGTTTCATTACAGAAAGTCGTACGACATGCTTGTTCCATTTTCGACAAGTGTAAGAGGTATTTTATAACGTAAGGTAATTATGCCCAGGTGCTCGATCGCAATGGAGATGTGCGCTATAGCACTCCAACTTCTATCTCTATGTTTTTTTTTGTTTTAGGCAATGCCTGCTGTGTTTTAAAAGAAGTTTTTGACAATTTAGAGTACATGGTACTCAACTATGATGATGATTGATTTGTGGGGTTCAACGTCCCAAAACTACCGTATGATTATGAGAGACGCCGTAGTGGAGGGCTCCGGAAATTTTGACCACCTGGGGTTCTTTAACGTGCACCCGAATCTGAGTACACGGGCCTACAACGTTTCCGCCTCCATCGGAAATGCAGCCGGCACAGCCGGGATTTGATCCCGCGACCTGCGGGTCAGCAGCCGAGTACCTTAGCCACTAGACCACCGTGGCGGGGCCATGGTACTCAACTATGGGAGGGCATAAAGCCATCCCAGCAGTTCATCAGACAGGCAAAATCATCATGTGCCGTCATATGTGATTTTGTTAAAAAAAAGGGGGGTTAACGATTTAGAATACTTGGTACTCTATTGTCGAAAAGCATAGAGCCTTTCCGTGGGCCTCACTCCTTGACGAAGCCGCGTCGACAATAATTACGCCGTGAACGAGTTCACGCAGGAAGCCAAGATGGGAGCCACAATGTGAAAGCTCCAGCACACGGAGAGTTAGATATGCGCCAGAAGTGTGTTTAGAAAAAGTGGGCTACGATTTGGAGTACTCGGTACTCAACTATGGGAGAGCATCCTGTTAGAAAAAAATTTCCTAAGTGACAAATTTTGGCGGTAGCAGCAGCGGTGTTGCTCACGGAAAAGCCGGCGGCGACAACTTTGCAGGAAGGTGTAAATGGAACCTGCGCCAGTCACGTGCGTGTTTTCGTGCACCGTTTTCAAATTATACTCCTTCTAACGTCGGCTTTTTGGCGATCAGTCATTTCTTATGTGCCAGTCTACCATTTTATAAGAGTGACTTGCGGTTTTAAGAAAAGACAGGGTAGGAGCCAGTTGGTTGCAAATGGTGCAAACTTCAGTGTGCTACAAGGAAACGAAATCTGCGTATAAAGAACGAAACAAGACAGCGCAAGCGCGAATAACTGTTTCTACCAACTAACAGCGGGACAGCGCAAGCTTAAGCAGTTCCTAGTTCGCGCTTGTGCTGGCCCGTTTCGTTCTTCCTACGTAAATTTCCTTTTCTTCTGGCGCGCAAGAGTTTCCAATTGTGATTTAAAAGTTAGCCACGTTTTAACATTGCCTGGTTATGAACGCGTGCGAGTGGTTGTTGCTTCTAGCAGCTGAGGTGTAGCGCTGCCAAGCATGTGAATGGAAGTCCAATTCCCGGCGGGAAGGACAAGGTAACAAGGGAAGAGACGAAGCGCCATGAGATGCGATAAATAAAGAAATAAATCTAATATGTCAGGATCAGGTGCCCACACGTGCCAAGCATCGCTTCCATTCATTCATTTCCACTCATTTTCAACCAACCGATAGAGGGAACGTCTCCTAAACTTTTTTTTCTGTTCACAGCATGCTTTCTTTTTTTTTCCTCTTTTAATGTCCCCGGGTTACCATGACAACGAGACAGAGTCACCGCAATTGAAGTCAAACTTGTGCTCTCGGTCTGTGCGTCTACTCAACGCTTTCCCAAAAGAACGTCCTCGGAAAGTGATGAAACGTTCAAATAAAGTTCGGTGCTATACCTTCCAGCTGCAGAAAACTTTAGGAAGTTTCGCAACAGAGACTCAGCATAGAAGTATGAGCTTTTGACTATATTAAAATTTAGCTACCAGGCGAATTCTTTTTTCTTTGCTTTACGGGCAACTTTTTTGCTCGTCAGAGTCACAGAGCGAAGTCGAGTTGCTCGAAAGTGCGTTTATTTTATTCTCCTTTTCAAACATTCAGTACGGTTTGTTTTTCTTTTTTCCATTGAAACTGCTAAACAATGTCGGTGCACACCGATCACATGCAACTCCATTTCTTGGGTTGTACTGATTTGGAAGCGCTAGCGTCACATGGAATGCTTTACATAGTTTCAGGATGCACCGGACGTATGTCAGCCTCCGCAAATCTCTTTTTTCTTACCTGGCTTGCCTTGTGGAGGTCGCTGTAGCAGACAGACTGTTCGTGAGAACATTTATATCTGTTCGATATGAAAAAATGATAAGAAAAGTGGCTGGAGGCATTCAAATACTTTGTACACATTCCAATTCCTATGAAATCTTTCATTACAGTCTTCTCACCAAGCAGTTGCAGGAGCACCTTCACACTGTTGGTTTCCCTAGATGCACTTCTAGCATACCTTATAACTCGTGTTTCGTGGCGCGTTCAAGAATTATTAACGATGGCAGACTTTTATACGATACTTTAAGATCTTAAGTGCCCGTCAGTATATACTTCGGCACACCTACAATCAAAGCCCGGCGGCTTATTCACTTGGCCACGATCGAATGCTACGGAATTATTTAGGTGCCTTGCATGTTTTTGTGCTACGGAACTGTTATACAGAGTTAATGTACGCAAGACTCGTCTTCAACTGTTTAATTAGTTGGCAGAACTGTTCACTTGAAGTTGTAGCTGCTCTAAAACATAGTATGCTGATTCTCTGATCACCATTCTGCCGAACAAATTTTTGAAATATTGTTACTAGATAAAGAATAGAAACGCGCCCATTTTTCTTGAGTATTAAGCTTATGTAATATATAATGATTTAGTGCAGTGCACTTATTTGGCATCGACGATCAGTACTACAAGATATTACAGTTCTACTTGTCTTGTATGTTAGTGTCTAATTCTATTACCAAAGTTCAATAAGACGTCAAATGCAAACGCTGCCTAGTTCTTCGTAAAACCATAATACTTAAATTATCAGGCATTGAAAATTTTTGCCGGTGATTAACTTTTAATAGTAATCTCTCAGACGTAATTAAAGAGGTTTTAACTTTTTTTCCTTCTTTTGTGAAATTTACTTCAATGTTAGAGGTTTTGCTCTAGACCAGTTTGGTATATCCGAAAGCCCTGTGTTCTCAGCTCTGATTTGACCGTCTACCTGGCTTGATCAATTTGAGGAGTTCCCCCAACAAAGTTCTCCGGGTTCAAATCTCTGACGTGGATGAATGCCTTTTCAGCATGGA